TGATTGACCACATGTTGAATAAGCGATATCACTGTCGTTTGTAACTGTATTAATAACCTATTGGAATTATTTTCAAAAAACTGTATAAGCTATACTAACAATTATAGCGCAATTTTTCGACGCTAACAAAGTGATAATTGAAGAGCAGTTATTTATTGACAATTTTCATATACAAATTGACGGTATATTATTATTGAAAACGGTTGTAAGTGGGCCACAAGTACGTTTTTAGCAGTCAAGTGGCTATTTTTGGCATGCAGATATGTACAATAATAATTGAAATAAATTCTATGTTGGAAAGTCAAGTTCAAAAATCTTGCAAACACATACTTGTATGTATGTGTGTGTGCATATCTTCCTACTTAGTGCTAAGACCCTTGAAGGTGTTTGCTTATTAACTTTTGTTGTTGTACTTTGTTTACTATTAACTTTAAAATATGAATAAATTAATTGACGCTACAAGTAATGTATGTAAATGTTATTCAACTTAAAGCTGCGCTCGTGTATGCAGTTGAGTGTGTGTGTGAGCGAGTGCGATGATCAGCTGAGCGAATTGTATTGGTAAGCACGCGTAACTATTTTATTAATAATTGTGTCAAGTTCAAGTGTTTTTAACCCATTTTTGTAATACAAAAACATACTACCACACACCTACACACACATGTACATATATACTAAAGATACACATTTTGCGACTGTTTCTGAAGTGCTGCGCCGACTTAATAAGCAAGAAGCACCTTTATGTATGGTGCATACTATGTCTACATATGCATTTGTTGTAGTAAAAATGAAAACAAAATAAAATTGAAATAAAAAAAATTGGCAACGTTGGTGGACAAACATTAATTGAGCGTTGAGCTGAATGCAAATGTGCCATACTATTAAGCTGGCTGTAGTCTTAAATAAACACACATATGTATATAAATCCGAACTATAGCCTTCTGAACGTCATACATAACCGAGATGTCAGTGTACCTGCTTACATATTATTTACATATTTATGTGACCAGCGGTGTCCATAAGCAAGTGGTACCCATGAGATCCAGCACGACATGCCGCTGTCATTCTACGTGATGTGCAAGGGTGCGAATGCAAGTTGACTTGAAAAAAAAACGAAAATTAACTTCGGTTGCAGCTAAAGCTGGAATACCCATCACAAATTTATTACATTAATTAAATACATATAAGAAATTGATTTTGTTCGGACGGTTTGTATGGCAAGTATATGTATGGTGGTCCGTGCTAAATTTCGACGATAGCTTGTCAAATAAAAACAAATTTCCATGGAAGAATTTGATTCCGATCAATCAGTTTGCAAGGCAGCTATATTTTATAGTGGACCGATCCGAAAAATTTCTTCAAAGATTATAGCGATGCTTTGTGCAATAATTCATGCCAAATTTTATGAAGATATTTCGCCAAAAAAAAAAAAAATTCCCATACAAGGACTTGATTCCGATTCTGCAGTTTGTATGGCAGCTATATCCTATAGTAGTCCGATATCAGCGATCTCGACAAATGAACAGCTTCTTGGGGAGAAAAGAACGTTTGCAAAATTTCAGATCGGTATCTCGAAAACTGAGGAGCACCCTTTTGGGTATTATAAACTTCATGGCAAACTTAATACAACTTGTTTAGGGTATAAATACATATGTATATGAGTATATATTGTAGTTACAAACCTTATTATTTTTAAATGTAGACACTATTAAGATGGTGAGAGTTGGCAGAAAGATGAAGGTTAAATGTATTTTTATAACAGCTCAAATCAAAAAGTGATTGACCCTAAGGTGGCTGACAAGAAGTAATACAACACAAAAATAGCATGCTACATTTTTTATTACATTTTTTTAACGGCTAAGAGCCCTAAAAGAGAGCAAAAATAGTATTATCCACTACTATTTTTCCTAAAAGAAAAATAGCGGTAAAACTCGCAAACTTTGCAAAAAGGACTTTTTATTTAATTAATTAAGCAAATGAGAATTACAAAGCGCTGTAACAACAAAATAATGAATGCGCTGATTTGAATCTATTGTAGAATACTGTTGCGTTTGACATTGCTTTGGACGAAAAGATACTGAGTTCTTAGTCAGATTTTGAGCTTAACTACGAACAAGATATTTATATTAATAACTACATCAATGATTTAATCGTTACAATCACTGTAAGATATTTTAGAAACCAGTTCAACACTTTAAAATAAGCAATACGAGTATATTAAAAATATAACGACGAATGATCACTTTTGATTCGAAGCACTGATTTATCAAATTGTAATATCTTACAAACCGAATTCTGGGATAACGTGTTGACAAGTTAGGTTATATCTTGAAGAATTATTAAATAAGTGGGTACAATGATACATTCGATAGAGTGATACTGTAATGATCGTCCGCAGTCGATAATGATATCTTGCCGATTTTATTTGTGTAATTCCAACTATCTGGGGTGAGTTAGACTAGACTGGATTATCAATTTTTCTTGCAAATTAAATGAAATTATATTTTATAACACAAATTTGTTCAGCTTTTAAAATCTATCCAGGCGGAACGTGCTAAGTTTTTTGGCTTCGTAAATATTACTACTACTTAAGTTCTACATAACTACAAAAGAAAATAATTTTTTAATTATATAAAAACATGCGGCGATAGTTTACGAGATGAACTTGACTATTGAATATAAAATATTTTGACAGCTGACAGTTGACAGTTGACAGCTGAAGGCACAATTCATCTCTAAAACTGTTTTAACGCCACAAAAATTTACCCTGTGACAAGATTATGAGGGTGTAAAAAACTCTATCAGTTGCTCAGTCACTGGCGGGAGGCAGCATTGAATCAGCTCGGCATCGTTTGAATGAAATCATCACATCATTAATATTTAACGTAAGCCGCAAATTTGCATTTTATAACGTCGATTGCCCCTCTTTATACACTAGTTAAGTGATTTAATTGAAACGATTTTAATGTCTATATTACTGTTATTGCTATTGTTGTTGCAAGAAAGTCAGTGAAAATGACAAAGAAAATCACATTAGTATACATGCATGCACCTATAAAGTTACTAATATGGATATTCACAGCTTGTAATCTCATTACGAACTAATTAATATAATGCCAGTCAAGGGTCTGTGGTTTTTAGGCGATCAATTTCATTTTGATTTATTCAATGAGGTTATGTGACATAGTTGTTTAAGTGAAATAAACACATGTGATTTATGTGTGACAGTTATATAACAAGATATACAATAGATCAGTGAGCCCACAAGTTTAATGTGATATGGAGAACTGCGACTCGGACAGAGCGGAATTTGTATTTAGTTTGCATTAAATTTATTTTTATGAATATACATACATATGTATAATGGATATTTAAATAATGCTTATTAAAAAATATATATTATGAATCCTTTAGTTCTCTCAAATCTTGAAATACGTATATAACTTGAAAATATAATATTTAATATCCTTTAAAATAGCTTGAGCAGGGAAAATCCACCTACATATGTGGAATATACATATGTACGTATTACTAAATCAAAAAATATATTTCCACTGATAACATTAAGAGATATCTATATTTCTTTGGTGGAGAAAAATAAAAATAAAATATTAATTATTTTATTTCTTTCATATTTTATTAAATTGCATTGACTATATGAAAAACAAAATTATATGACAACCGGCGTACCCGACAAAAATACTCTTTTTCAAGTTATATACGGGTAAAAGCAAAAAAAAAGAAATGTTAGTACTTATTTGCATTGAAACGATGAAAATTTTTTAAGCTTAGAAAAATTAAAAAAAAGAGTTAAATCCCGAAATTTTCGGGATCGTGAAAGTTTCATTTTCGGGATTTTGATGTTCGCAATTTGCAAAATAATTAAAGAGAAAATTTTAATGAAAATAAGAAAAAATTTACATGAAAACTGTATGTGAAAACTGATCCACCATAATCATCAAAACTTGACCTCCACGGAGTATTCAAAATATACGTGACTACTTATTTCTATTGAAATGATCTAAAACCTGCAAACTTCTTCGATTTAAGAGATGTAATAATTAATAGTTGAATTTCTAAAACTTTCTGTATTTTGAAATTGACATTTTCGGAACTTAGAAGGTAGTTTAAGGTTAGTTAAATTTTTTGTAAATATACAATACATGTGGTATGAGTAACATTTAAAAGTTCTCTCGGAGCTACATGTCGTATGAGTAATGTGTCTGCAGTATATTTTCTTTTTTATACCCTAAACAGGGTATATTTAGTTTGCCACGAAGTTTTTAACACCCAAAAGGAAACGTCGGAGACCCTACAAAATATATATATAATTGATCACCCTGAAGAGCCATGCCCGTCTATCTGTACAACTGTATATATGCGAACAGGTCCCTTAGTTTTAGAGATATCGAGCAGAAATTTTGCTCACATTCTTTTCTAACCAAAAAGCTGCTACTTTTACGGAACCGCCAATATCGGACCACTATAGCATATAGCTGCCATACAAACTGAGCGATCGCAATCGAGTACTTGTATGGAAAACTTTTTCATTTGACGAGATATCTTCAAGAAATTTGGCAAGGATTATTACCTTAGACGATAATATATATGCAAAATCAAAATAAAGATCTTTTTATACCTCTTTATGCTATAAAATCGCAGCTTTGAAGGGTATTATATCTTCGGTGCAGCCTAAGTTAAAGTTTTTTCTTGTTTTCTAGTTTTTTAATCATTTAGATTATAGAATCGAGCCTCCGAATTTTTCATATATGTATGCACATCAAAAATTACCACAACAAAAACAACAAAACAATTGATTTAATCAGCGTACTTAAAATACGAAAAAACCACTGACTTATCGAACGGAGCTTGTTTAGCTTCAGACACAAAACTAGCTAGATACGCCCTTTTAACAATTTATAACATACAATACAATTCTAATCATTAAAAACACCTGCACTATATTGCATCTCAATCAATAAGTTATATTTTTATTACAGATAACGCAAATTATTAATTTTGACGAAGTGAAAATATCGACGACAGACAATTCCTTGTCAATCGCTAAAAAAGCAGTGATTCTCAAAAATATTGGACCTAGAGACACTATAACAACAACTCAATAAAACTGTGGCAAAATATCAACTTAAATTACAACAAAAATCGCAAAATGCCAGCCAAGGATTTATTCAACCGCTGTCAGCCGGTACAGTTATATATTGTGTTATCGATGTCCATCGCCTATTTCCTCGTACAGTTGGTACTCAGTCATATAACACACGCGCTAACGCTACTCATGGCATCCTATCACATGTTATGTAATATTTTTGCGCTCATAGGCTGCATAGTAACAATAAAGGTAAGGCAAAAATTTTATGGAAAAATAAAATTTTATTGATCTTAAAATATTCATTAAATTAGGCTTTTGTTTAAATAATTTATAACATTTATTATTGTTTGTGTACAGACATATGCATATCAACTTATTGATCATATAGTTTTAGATAAAAAGTGATAAAAAAATGTATAATAAAAAGTTAACAAAGTTTGATTGGTTGTGATAATGACCATGAATTTCCAAAATAACGTTGACAACACAATTAAATTTAACTGTTGCTAAATATAACACCGTTGAGCTAGAATATATGGCCAGAGATTTATCGCGATAATGACTGTTTCACACTTTTCACTTTTCACTTTTGTCATGTGACAGCTGTCAATTTGTCTTACAAACTAAAATGAACTGTGAAAAATATTGACTTTTTCACTTTTGACATGTGACAGCTGTCATTTGAAGCTCACAAACTAAAATAAACTCTCTTCAAGCCGCAGAATGTCAATTATTTCACTCACAGTTGAGCCGTAGTGGAGGTAGTATTATGCAATATTAAGAATAAATGACCTTAGTGAAATTTTCTGAATGACGTTTGTCAAATTATTCAAATTATTGACATTTTTCACTCTGACCTAAGATAGCTGAAACTAGTTTAGTTTTTTACATAATATTAGCAGCTTTAAGAAAAATACTATATACTTATCATATTTTTTCCGATAGAAATTGAAATTGATAAGTTTATTTTGTTCCCTACAAGTGCTTTAAATCAAATAATTGAACCAATTTATCAGCTAGTTTCTTTCCTAAGCACCTAACAACAATGATGTAATCTTATCTGTGAAATCATAAACCACCTCGAAGCCAGTGAAAATATCGTGGAAAAAGGCCTACAAAAAAATACCAATAAATTCATCATACTTATCAAATGACTATATAGACATAAATAAAGTGAAATTGTGCAGTAATTGACAGAACAAATTTGACCTGCGTCAATTATATACAAGAGAGGATTTTTGTTTTTTCAAATGTCCATGTTTTTTATACCCTCAACTAGTGCCATAGTTTTTAAGATATCGTTCTGAAATTTCGCACACGTTCTTTTCTCCCCAAGAAGCTGCTCATTTTGTTCGAATTGCTGATAATGATCGGTCAGAATCATGTTCTTGTATGTAAAACCTTTTTATTTTACAAGATATCTACACGAAATGTGGCACAGCTGATTATCCAAGACAACGGTACAATCTCCGAAGATATTATTCAGATCGGACTACTCTAGCATATAGCTGTCATATAAGCTTGCCGAAATAACCAAGATAAAAACCTTTTCATGCCCTTTTATGCTATAAGAAATACAGCTGTGAAGGGTATGATAGCTTCGGTGGAGCCGAAGTTGATGTTTTTCTTGTTTTATAACAAGAAAATTTCTTTAGTTTGACTACGAGGCCATCGGAGCAGTGTCGGCAAACTAATGGACTTCCAAATACGCTTTCTGTTCTCATGTCAGAAAAAGCTCTAGCATGCAATCGTTTCCTTTGATAAACCATTTGTGCACCTATGAAATCCATGTATGTAGTAAACTCATATAGGAGCGACATCTAAAGACATATACTTTTTAGGGAATAACCTCCAGAATAGTCATATTGACAAGAACTGTTCATCAAGCATATTCGTGTTTGCCACAGAGAAGGTCCCAATAATGGATGTCTGATTACAAAATATTTATTTCGAAAATCTTTTCATTTTAAATTCGTCCATTACAGTTATGTACTGTACAATACTTGCACATTTAACGCGTTCATTGGCCCAATAAATTACTAAAAAATAACTTTATTTTTTAATTTCGATGCGCACACGATATTAAAATTCAAGGTTAGCAATTCACTGCTCACCAATTTGGGTTTAAATGCAAATGCTTAACGGTTAAAACAATATAAAATAAACACGCAACAACAGTAGTGACAACAGTAAGCTATAACAATAACAATAACGTAAACAGAAAATAAGCGCAATAACAATATTGAAATTCCAGTAAATAAATTTAAATGCAAAAGACTGAATCATAGAAAAATAATATATTTTTTAAGAAAAAAAGACTTGCCGAAAGTGCAACCTTAACTTCGGCTGCACCAAAACTAAAATAACTTTCACAGTAGCAGTTTTTACAGCATAAAAAGTTATAAAAAGATCTTTGTCTTGATTTTGATCGGTCAGTTTGTATGGCAGCTATGTCCAATGATAGTCCGATATTGGCAATTCCGAAAATTTAACAGCTTGGGGAGAAAAGGACATATGCAAAATTTCAGTTCGATATCTCAAAAACGGAGGGACTAGACAGACAGACATGGCTAAATCGTCTCAGCGCGTTATGCTGATCGTTTACTTATACGAGTATATAATATATTGGGTTGTTCACAAGTAATTTCGTTTTTTTAGTGCATTTTAAAACAATTTTTTCATTGCGTAAAACATTTTATCGCGTTAGACAAATTCAATCTTTCAGCAATCTCTCGAGTAGTTAATCGATGATTTGCAGGCGACTTTATTTTATCCACATCGGCATCAAGCGGTCTTCCAGTACGTGGTGCATCCTCAAGATCAAAATATCCGGAACGAAATTTTGCATCACATAATTTTCGCCTTGCTTAAACTACATTTTTACCCTTACCAATTTTACCATTTGATGGTAAAATATGCCGAAAATGCTGTTTTCGATTTTCCGTTTTCGATAGGGGCACCAAACAAAAACTAAAATTTGTAAAAAATTTTATAAACAAACCTTACTATATCAGCTGTGCAAATATAACGGTAAAACCGTTAAGTTTGAAGTTGGTTGCGAAAGAATACAATAAAATCAGCTGTTGTCATAAAACGAAATTACTTAGTGAACGACCCACAAGTTTGTAGAATCTTCGATGTTTCCTGCTGGCTGTTGCAAACTTCGTGGCAATATTCCTGGTTCATTGTATAAATATATATTTTAAAAAACAAAAGAGACTTGCTGAAAGTGAAAGTCTAGGAAAATAAACATTTAAAAAATGTATATAAATATGCATGCTTACATTAGAAGTGATTTTACCTAAAAATTTTATAAATATTATTAATAACAACTGTAATTGCCTTGTGTATGTGCATATATCGGTGCATACATATGTAAAAGACACCTGCAACTCCCAGTCTAGAGTGCTACCAGAAATTGTGTGCTAACCGCAGAGTTGACACTTCATCGACCAGGCACGCGCCAATTTATGCGTGAAATTCCGCCAAGCGGCAGTAAACCAGTGCAACACTACACGCCAGTGTAATACAATGCGACGCGCTACTCACCATACATACCTACGCACGTACATATGTACATATTGTTATAAATCGTTGAGCTTTTACGGATCGCATTGCATAACATTAAATGCCATGTTATGGGAATATTCAAAACAAAAAAACATACATACATACAGACATATGTATGTCTATATGTATAAACAAAATGTTGCGTCAAGTGTTTGCCTGAATTGAATCGCCAAAAGTCGCTAAATAAGTAGACGCCAGCTGAAAACTGGAATTTTCAAATGAATGATGTGTGTTTGCATACATTTTTCCGTTTTGTTTTGTTTCAACCATTCACATTGATATGCAGGTATTTAAGCAACAGGTAGAAGAGAACACTCGATCGTTTAACTGGAGTCAATTAAAATACAGATGCTGAGTTGTAGTTTGATTTTCTGGAATATTCTGAGAAATAAGAGGCAACTGTCAGTTTGTAGGGGTGAGCAACAAAGTTGCGCTGTGTGAACACCGAAACATCGAGCTCAAGAAATGAAGCCCTAAGCTGCAACTAAATAGCTCGATATGCGTACGCAAAAACCTGTTGCTTAAAATTGGAGCCACTCTATATTAAGCGTTTTAATGCGTCAACAATTCTTCCAACTTTGACTAACGTTTTAAAAACACATATAGAATTTTTTGTTTTGTGATTTTTGTGACGAACTATTTTACAAAATACCTACAGTGCAGTAAAACTCAATTTTTTGTTAGCTGCTATTCACAAATAAACATGAAATTGGCCGCGTTTGCAGTTTCCAGTGCATGAAAGGAGAGAAAATTTAATTTCTTTGCGTAACAGCGTAAAACTGATAGCTGGTTCACAATAATTATTGCCTGTGCGGAGTATTCAGAGTAATGAAGTAAACGAACAAACCTGGTTTTTGAAACAATCGATTAACCGATAAACATGTAAAATTGTTAACGATAGCTAGCTAAACTCTACGAATTGTCATAGCTGATGCATTCGAAAACATGAGCAGAATTCCAATACAACGACGTCTGTCTCTAAAACAAAAATTAGAAATTATAGAAGCGGAGTCTAAACAAAGCAATAGAAAGAAATTAATAAAAAAATATAAATGTAATTCATCAACTATAAGTCGAATTATGAAACAAAAAGACACCTACCTAAGAGCCGCGAAATATGGAGATTTGCTGAGGACGCGGCTGGAAAAATGTTTACACCCGAAAGTTGAAGACGCCTTATTTGATTGGTTTAATGAACAGAAAAATCTAAATACAGTATCATCATTAAATAATGCAGATTTACTGGAAAAAGCAAAGGAATTGGCAATTAAATATGATCGTGATTTTGAGCCCTGTTTGAAATGGCTTGAGACCTGGAAGAGACGTAATGGAATCAAGATACGCAAAAAGCGCATTTCAAGAAGCAGCATTAGTGTGCGTGAAGCTTCAGTTGGTTCATCATCATGTCCGATGGTTGAGATTTGTAAAGTAGATTTTGATTCGGGTAAAGAAGACGTGATATGTAATGCAGACTCAACAAGCAAACAAATTAATCAAGTTGCTGATACTCCGGTTGACATAGCTCCAGTTCATCATACACAATTGGCAACGGAGGAAATCACCACAAGTAAAATGTTACAAGTGAATGTAGCACCGGTTGAAAATGCGCAATTAGCAACGGAGCAAGTTACTACAAATAATAGGTTACAGGAAAGTGCTGAAGACTCAAATACTCCATCCATAAGTGAAGCTCTACAAGCGCTGCTGGTGGTTAAACAGTTTTTTATACTTAATGATATGGAAATTGGTTCGCTATTTAGCATTGAGGAAAAAATTTTACAACTTTGGAAGAAAAATATATAATTACACATAAACTACTTTCCGTACACGAGGCACTTGTGAAGTACATTGACGTACATTACATATACATACAGGCCGATCAAAATTAAAGTAAAGTTAATTTTAAACACTTATGTTATAAGAAATGCACCTTATTGTAGTATCGGTGCAGCCGAAGTTAAAGTTTTTCCCGGTTTTTATTGCTTTATTTGTGCATGAAAATTAAAAATTTAATTAAAATTCTATTTTATTAATAGTACTGTACAACAAATTTTCAAAATAAAAAATTCACATTTATGAAAAATATACTTCTAGTAGTTGTTTTGTGATTAATAATAATATATTATAAATTTATGTTTTCAGCACAGCAGAAAACATGATGAAACCCAACTCGAGCATTTCATCAGCTCCACATATGCCGAGAGCGACAGCAATTTGCAAAATGTTTCAAACAAAGATAAAATTATTGTAGTAAATATGTCAGGAGCACCGTCACCAACAGTATCACGCCATCGACGTGAAATGAAATTGCGAAACACTTTTGGGTGGACGCGCATAGATATACTGACCATGCTGATTGTTTTTATTATACTAGCATCGCTGTCATTTTCGCTGGTAGTGGAGGCCTTACAAACACTTGTACACATCGATCATCAAGATACAATGCACTTGCCGATTATTGTCATGATACTCGGATTTGTTGGACTAATTTTAAATGGCTTAACATATTTGCTAATCGGTGGTTATACAATGCATCAGGGTAGCTTTTTACATGTGACACCTAGCGGAGATGTAATTTTAGATCGTGTACTATCAAATAATGAAGAATTAAAAGCCGATGAACGACAACTATCAAAGCCAAATAGTGAGACAATTGAAAATGATCGACAGCTAAAGGATGATTTAAAAGCAGAAATTGGTCAGATACACTACGTGCCAAAACGTCAAGGTGCTGTGGAGATGTTGCGTGATGTGTCCAGCACTATTTTCGTTATAGTTTGTGCATTTATTGTCAATATGGCTGAAGATGAAGAGCATACGGCTAAATTTATCGATCCCGTACTCTCAATTTTCTCCTGTGTCCTACTAGTTTCTCTTAGTTATCCGTACAGTAAGTATACTACATAAACACATACTCACATTTTAATTTGTTTTCTACTACTTTCTAATTGATATAGTGAAGCAATCGTGTCTAATCCTTTTACAAACAATTCCCGGTTCTATTGATATGGAAGATTTTGAACGTACATTGGTAATAAAATTCCCTGAAATCGTTAGCTACCACGATCTGCACATTTGGCAATTGTCAGCTCATAAATCAGTAGCTACTGTACACATAATGTTTGAAAATCCACGCCTGTACACAAAAATCATCGACGATGTACGTGCATATTTCCAAAATCGTGGCATTACTGAAGTCACAATTCAACCGGAATTCCAAAGTCCGAAATCACCATCTATAGAATGCTTGATGCAATGTAACGCTAGTGATTGTGTGGACAAAGTATGCTGTAAGGATTCACGTACGGATCTGCGTGAGATAATCAGTACATCACCAAATGGCGATGCTGAAACACCCGTCGAAAAGCACAGTACTGGCGAAAATGAGGATAAATCTTTCAATACAATTCCTTTGAAGAGTGTAGATGTGAAGAAGGCGAAAGAAAGTGTGCCGGATGAAGAAATATCAAGGGAGAAAATAGCCACAATAGCGAATGATGACAGTATTAAGGAAATTGTAGTACCAAAATGTGATAAGCTCGAAGTAAAGTCTACTGAAGAATCTATATCAACTGTTGAAAAGTCTGAAATCTGTCTTGCTGCTAAAGTTCTCGACGAAATCAATGTGACAAATGATAGTAGTTGATTGACTATATCAACGTAACTACAAAGCTTTTCTGAAGCTAAAATGCTACCAAATAAATTTTCTTCATATATATTTAAGCAAAAATAGTTATGAAACCTATACGAGTAGATTTTAAATGCATATACATACATGTGTTTTGAAAAATTAACTTTACTTTTGATACATAATTTTAAGTTTTCCAAGAATTTATATGAATTACGTATTGTAATTTGTTAATTCATAAGAATTACGTGCTTTTAAGCTGACTAAGTACAAGTAGAGAAATTTAATTATAAGTGTATTAACCTTAATAATTAAGAATTTCACGTACATATGTACATATGTATAATACAAGACCCACCCATCCGTGTCATTGTTGTTTTAAGATTGAAATTATATTTGTACTAAGAATCAATTGTGCATAAATGTTGCCTAAAAAAACATTAAATAATATTTAAACTACAAAATAAAATAAAGAGCAAAGTTTATATTAAAACAAAAAAATACTTACAGTCAGAAGTTAAATAAATATCATTGATACTGCGAATTGGCCCATCGAAAAAAAACATAATTTTACATAAATTTCATTTCCTACAAATGTAGTCTTGCCATAAGTTCTGTTACAAGTTCAGACCGTTATAAAAATGAAACTATAAAACATTTTTTAAAAATGTTAATTTCATTTAATAATGCATATATTAAATAGGTGATGTACAGAATTTTATTCGAAATGGTCCCATTTTGATTTCACATAAGATCTCAAACGATTCGGCCATTGATCAATAGCAGCACGCACAGTTTCTATTGGAATGGACTACGCTGGTCGAAGCTAACATTTTTTGAGACTATCCAAATTTCTGTGGTATTCGACAGGCTATCTTCCAACTGTGACCACAAACTGTAGTGCATTAGAATAAAATCTGTGCCGTCTTCTAAAACATACTGCCGGTACACTTTTGCCCTAGTTTTAACCTCATTTTCACATAAGCAGAGAAAAGTAACGGTTTTACAAGAGACTCCCTACCAAAACATTACAGCAGCTGGATGATTGAATCTTTGGAATAACATTTTTTATATCTTAGTGCGGTATCGAAATATTACATAAGTATTTGAGAAGCCCATAAATTCCACTTTCGCTTTTTCCACACTTGTGTATGCAATGTAAAGCAATTACCGTTATATGTTTTTCTTTGGATAACCACTACATTATTAATAAGCGAAAGCAAACACTGAATTGAATAAGTATATGAGCAGACACTGCATACAAATTATAGTACAAAATAACGGCACTTTTTACAGCGAATTTGTCTTCGCTGTGTGCATTGTGCAAACTTTGTAACACAATTTATGGCAAGACTAAGTACAATATATTAAACAATTCTTCCATTAACAAGCACTCATGAGAGATCACGTGTTTTCATTTTCTTTATACGAGTATATAATTTATTTTTCAATAAGCAATTTAAAATTTGTTAAGAAGCTTTAAACGCTTTTCAAAGCTTCTGTTTGTAATGCGAAAAGGAAATGTAAAACCGCCAATTCAAACTGTCAACAGAGAATGTAAAATATCTAATAATCTACATTCTCTGCTGTCAAGTTATGTAGAAAACTGCTAAAACAAAAACAATATTAAGCAATACTGTCAACTGTTAATGATGGATGCAGGTAGCGCCATTTAAAGTCAGAAATTACTAACAGTAAAACTGTCAAAGTTCGTTATGAAATTTTGTAGAGTTTTGTTTTATAAATTCTTACAGTTACAGTGGTATCCTGAACCGGATAGATAAACATACATATGTTTTTACTTTGACAAGCAATTGAAGTAAGTGTTGCTTCCGCACTGCAGTCCGCTGCGTTTACTGATAATGTGAGTTTTCGATAAATAAGACCTTTTGAGCCCAATAATTTGTGTTCTAACTGATATTCTAAACAAAGTTTTTCTGCTTGTACTGCAGATTTTCCAAGATTGCAGATTTTATTCAAAATATATATAAATGCGTAATATTATTTTCAAGTACACAGGTATTTACGTATGTATGTATATTTGCTTTTTACGTTACTTAAGCAATTGTTAGACACTTCAGCATCCTGTTCCGAATTTAGCTGGTCTCCTCAACAATCAGCCATTACGCAGCTTCGTACTTTCACTTTACGTTTCGGGCATGGTTGTCCACCATTTCTGGGTTCTGTAATTACATATCTACTGCGATTGGAATAGCCTGTGCCACAGCTAACACTACATTGCGACCAGGTAGACCACTCAGACATAATACAATCAACGGTTTGAAAGGCTGGTGACTGATAAGTGCTTGTTTGAGCGCGAGTGGTGGTTTTGGTACGTGAGGCGGTTGTTTCGGCCGATTCTGAATGTTTACGTAACGGTAGTTGAAAGGTAACAAGTATATATACAAGTGTACTTATTTAAATAAGAATATATATAGTAAGTCGTTAAAATCTGTATAATTGCTTACGCAGCATGCTGCAGGTATTTAAGCAGTCACGCTCAGTGAGGAAGTTATTGCGATTACCACGACAGCCGCCATAGGTGAAACTCTCACAACGCCCGCTGTCACGATTATAAGCATAACGTTTATATGAGCTACGGCATGGACCACTATCCGCAGACTGCACACATATATCTGAATGATAAGCAAGTCGAATTAAACTCGATCGTTATATTACATGATATACTTCTATAAGGAACTAACCTTTCGCCATTTCCATGTTAATGGTACAATCCTGTGGCACATTGCACTCCTTTTGTTGATTCAATTCCATACGCGTGGTGCAATTGTCCTTCACTGCACCATTCTCCAATAGCAAGAGTCGCGTACGTATGGTAACACCACGTCCACAAGTGGCTGTACACGGACTCCAATCACTCCATTGTGTGGTCGGGCACATCGGATCGGGTAGCTCTACTTCTTCGTAGGTACAATCGGGACGCATACACTTTTGTTTCTCAACTGTGCTAATATGTGGACAATGTTTACGACCTTTGTGATCAATGAAAGTGCGCGTGCGCATTGTAATGCCAATGCCGCAGCTGGCTGAACATTCGGACCAAACACTCCAGGGTGTAGTCTTGCAGACACCGGTGCCCTCACCATCATCATTTACCAAAGCTACGGCATGTGCTAAGTTCTCCCCTTCGTCATCATCATTATCTTGCGATTGACTAAACAGATAAATAAATATATGTATATATACAAGTATATAATCATATAATCCACATATATACATGTCTACTGTGCAAACTTACTTGCATTCAGCTATGGGCGCTGCACACATTTCCTTTGATACCGTTTGTCGTGAGCAATCAGCAGCAGCAGCCGCTTCTGGATTCACATATTCGCGCGTACGCTTGCGTATGCCTTTACCACAGGTAACGGAGCAAGGACTCCAGTCAGTGTATGGCGTTAAACGACATTCAGCTGCAATAATCAATTTAGGACTGTGTTATGAAAGATATCGGAAAATTAATGTCAATACATACGTCTGACGTCTTGTTCTTCCACATCGTCAGATACATCTAGCTGTAAAGCCTCCAAGAAATTGTCATCGCAGCTTCTAGAGATGATTTTCTCGCGTCTAATGTATAACTTAGCCAACGGTGTCATGTCGCTGCTCTTTGGATTATAGAAAGGCGAACGTGGATCTTCGGGGTACATCGTAGTAATACGGTACATGCGCTCTCGCGGCTGTGTTTCCGAGTTAGGCGACTGCAAACGAATGAAAATATAGATTTCTAGGTATTAAAATACAGGAGAAATATTTTACCATATAACTAATGCCATTGTCAGTGCCCGCGTCCCATGGGTAGAGATCAAAGTCCAGTGACTCCTTCCAAGAGCAATCTTCAGTACACAAATCAACACCGCTGATGCCAACGACCCAATCCGGAGAAGGACCTGCGTTTTTTAACGTATTTTATTCAGAATATTTTCAAATTAAATATATTAATTTAGTATTTACCAAACATGGATACCAATGACACCTTTGGATGCGTACGATCAACACGAAATTTGGAAGACGTATTTGTATTCACATTCGGATACCATAGACCAGCAGCTTTTATAAGTGTCCTCAAGCGTGGTCCACGTGCTCTCAATTCAGTTTCCAAAGCAGTGGGCGAACCAAATTCCGCTAAAAATCGAAAACCATCTGTGGCAATATGATTTTCACCCCAGAATGAAAAGTTTGCCTCATGTGAAGCTCCAATAACATCTGAGAAATGTGTTAACCAAACGGCGAAGGGATAATCAGTGGGATGTGTTTCATTGGACCAAATGCCCTCAAAAATAAACTATATAATATATATACATATGTAAGTACGTAGAATGTACCATATACAAGTACTAGATGTACTCAATTAAATTTTTACTCTTACACTGTATTTAGCTTCATTACAAGCGCAGCATTCCTTTCTAACGGTGTGAACATTGGTTTTACGCTCACAAACGACCTGTGTTAATTGCCCGTCATCGGAGAACCATGCGCGTGGACCTTCGTAAACCATAGCGGATATGGAAACACAACCTGAGCCTGTAGGTGGCGCCACCCACATGATTTGTACTTCAGTTTTGGGTAAGTCATCTGCCTCCTGTACGGTATTGACACAACGATCGCTGAATTTAGTTAGAGCATCACTGAAGAGTATAAATCCTCCGACACGCTTTGGGCTGGCGGATTGTGCACGTCGGCGAGCAATATGCGCCTCCGCGGTGATTGCGAAATGAGTGAAATGTTGAACCTTTTCATGTGTTTGGGCACCGATCAACAGAACTAAAAGAGAATATACGTGTTTGTTTGTATTAAATAATTCAGTTAAGAGTATTTGGAAGGATATTGTTATTGTGGGGATAAGAAGCTGTTGCTGCTACTAATTATTCAGTTTTGAAGCTATGTACATATACATATGTATGTATATTTAATGAGAGTCAGCTATAGACATATTCTATCCATTTTGAAGATGGTCGCAATTATTTTTATAACTCTTGCAAAAAATGAAAGTGCCAGGAAATTTGATTGTGGAATAAAATAATTATGCGGGTGCTTGCATTCTAGCCACCACTGTTTACCGTACCGGGCGGCTTATAATAATGTAATGTACCGAAATCAAATACGGTACATAGCACTCTTCTACTGCAATAAAATACAGTAGCAGAGAACATATACCATAATATAATATCATATAATATCATAATACACGTTCTCTGACAGTAGTATCGAGTCCCTTTAAAAAAAACTTGTAAACATTAATGAAATAATGAAAATTCTCAGTATATATCATTCATATTATTTTATGCCTTAACCAACCTAGTTTCGTCGTTTTCCATCACTGTACATTTAAAGACAGCTGTTTGAATCAACGCGCGTACGCTATCATTTAAAAGTGCAGTTATTTTGGTTGGGGGTCCCGTTTATTGTGTTATTATTATATTTTGCAAACTAATTGGATTATTCTCTCACAAATCATAATATATAATCATTTTCTAAATCAAAACACACGTGATAAAAATGGGAGGTACTCAAAATGAGTTGAGTCAATTTGTAGAATTAGAATGGACAAAATGTGGCGAAATAAGAATGTGCGCAAATCGCAATGATTTTCAATTAAGTTGTAACCATTGTAGTGATGTATTTTACCAAATGGCTGTTTTCGCACGACATTTACATTGGGAACACCAACTGGGACATGAATTGCAAAGGAAACATCAAGGACGAAATGATTTAAGCACTTACACTGTGGAAGAATTGCTTAGCAATAAAAACATTGACAATACGTTCTCGAGCAATGAAAATATCTGCAATACAATTTCTGATGAAGATGATACTGGTTTTGGCAGCGACGAAGAATTGAAAAGAGAAATTCAGGAATTGTTGACAAGTATTGCTTCTGCCGATTCCTCCAGTAAAACTGAAAATGAGTATTCCGAAAATGTTTCTGATTATGGGCACATAAAAAATAATCATGGAAATCGCCAAAATGCTCAAGATCAGGACATGCAAAGGTACAATAAAAACTTTCAAAGAAGTTGTAAAAGAGAGCCATCGCAGCAGTCGGAGGTTGAAGAAAACATGAACTATAAAACTACAACAAACTTTATTAAGAAAAATAATCAGCACAATTCAAAAAAATCTGAAAATGCACCAAAAATTGCGAAGAAATTACCACTGAAACAATATTTGGAAAGCAAAAAATTTCTTTTGCAAAGCGATGATGAAAGTAATAGTAGTGACGACTGGCTTAAAAGGAATACAAGAAATAAAAGGAAAGAAGTTGTTAGTAATGTATTAAAAAAGAATACCAACGAAATACATGCAACCCAAGATGAACTTGATAATTTACGAAACATTAAAGATATACAATGTATTCGATCTGCGGTGAATGATCAGGCTTCAACCAACTCGTGTGCTGAAAAAACCTCACATGCGCTGGACAATAAAGATATTTATAACGATAAAGATAGCAATAATATATTGAATGAAAGCGAAGACTTGATATTATCCAATATATCTAATATAGGAGGAGGCAAGGACAATAAAGAATACGACACCAGCGTTACTGAAAACGAATCAAATTTTGTGATAACTAATAGTTCCGAAGTAGAAAATGTAGAAATTAAATACGTTGCACCAACTATTAATGATTTAAATCCTTACCACAATGAGACGAACGAGAACTGGAGCTCTGTTGAAGAAATTAAAAACCAGCAATCTAAAAGTACAACACACGAAATGGCTATTGAGAAACCGCTTGATCTTAGTTTCAATAAATCCAATGAATGGGCTGATATGGAATTGGAGGAAATTTCTGAGCTGCTATCAATCAATGTGAAAGCCACAACGGAATTGATTACACAAGACATTGATAAATTATTAGTGCAACAACAACCGAACTATACAGATAACTCCTCGTCATTATTTAATGCTGACCAATTACAAATATCTGATATAGTTGTAGACAATTTATTGCCGCCATTTTCGAAATTCTTTACAAATAATGCAAACACTCTGAAAAATTCCAATACTTTAATGATGCAATCAACACCTAAAGAAAAGAATGTGAAAACGTCGCAAACGAAAGAATTAACAATGAAAACTACAAAACCAAACGAGTGTATTGCAACTGAAATTTCACAAACTGCTGGCGAAAATGTTGAAAACATTATACCGGAACATAAAATCTATGAATTTTCTAAAAACTTGCAACGCAGGTTTAAAATTTCGAAGCGCATATCACAATGCGACATAAAAGAAAACAAATCAAAGAAGACAAAGCAAGAGGTCGAAAACGCGGAGGAAATTATTAAAGAAAATAAAACTACAAAGAAACCGGATATTGAAATATTGAGCGTTGATATAATTCACCCAAATGAAAATAAAAATCAAAATATGCCTGCAAATTTTGCCAGTAGTAGCAACGTACTACTAGATGAAAGCAAAGCAAAAAACTGCGACGATTTGCAAATTCCTAGTGTAATACAGGAAACAAACATAAACGAAATAAATTGGGGAGCGTGTACATCCGAAAGTATTATTGAAGACCTAACACCGGTTTGTATTATCTATGAAAAGTTGCTGTCAAAGTTTTTATTGATTTCATCTGTATCTGTATTGTATAGTATTTGAAAATCAAAAAACCAACCGTTCGAGCGACCGATTTAAGCTCACACGTCGCAGCTGATAGTACCAGCGAACAGCAGCAGCAGCCTTTAGCATATACAAATGAAATTGATTATACGCACGACGATTCGCTAAATCAGTTAAAATTAAATGCTATGGATGATGAAAAACCGTTTTTTAATTCAACAATGGTATTATATTTTTTGTGACATTAACTTGTCATTCGTTGTCATGTATAAACTTTACTGTCATTTAGGAAAGCTGCTTTAACGTTACATTGCCTTGCGACAGCCAAAACAATACAGTTGATAATAGCATGATCTCCACTGCAGTAAGTAATTTGACTAGTTCTAAGCTGTTATTGCTAAATTGTTGTTTTTGTTTCTTTGGTTTAGTCGGAAGAAGAGCGAGAAAACTACACGCTACTACGTTCTGTGGGCGTAAGTAAAAACATATTTTTATATATTCATATTAATGTTCATATATATATATATATATATACTAATTAAAACCTTTACCTATTCTTCTAGTTACAAATCGTTATGGATCCCAACGCAGAGGATCAATTGAACTTAGCGCAATTGGAGGAGATACGTGCAAAGGCAAGCACATTTGCGAAATTCTACGCAGAATTTAAGTATCTTTGGAAATTTAGCAGAGGCCTCAAAAGCTATGAACAATTAGAGCTTGATTTCAATAAACTAATGCAACGTTTAAATGAGCATTATAAATTCGAACTGACCATAAGCCAAACGAAACGTATTGTGAATTTGATTACGCAATGGTATATGCAAACATATCACATGCGATTTATGGAGAAAAAACGTATCTTAAATAAAGTACAATATTATTTGAACACTTTTGCATATCTGCCAAAAACTATGCGACGCATATTTTATTGCGAAGAGTGTCCACGTTATTTTCTTTCACAACAGAAATATTTTGCCCACCGTCAAGGACACAATGTGCTAGCGCCCACTTGCAGCAATTGTCAAAATAGCTTTATGAATCGCAAAGAACTGCACTTTCACACGAAAGTCTGTGCTACATTCAAATGCATGGAATGTGCCGTTAAATTTGATAACGCTGCCAATTTAGAATATCACCTACGCAACAATCATATATTTCAATGTGAGAAATGTGGAAAACTATGCGCTACAGCCGCCGATTTAGAAGAGCACGAACATCAGTATCCCATAATTTGTGACTTATGCAATCGTTTATTCGAAACGGCAACCGAATTGCAAAAGCATCGACAAGACTCCTTTCACTGGGACTACACATGCCGGACATGTGAGATATTTCTGCCTACTGCTACACAAATGAAGCAGCATCTAAGGCTATGCATGCGCAATACAATGTAACATTAATCTTTTTTATTTTTATACATATATATTTTTTAATTTTCTATAATTTTAAGCAAAAAGTGCATGTGAATTCCCAGTATTTTAATTTTAAGTAGTAAAAGTGAATTAATTTATAATTTTAAAATTCTTTTTATACAACTTTTATTTAGTTTTATGAATAAAAAGAAATTGATGAAGTGCTCGGAAATTGATAGCGTTATTCTTAACTCCACTAAATTGTATTTGTTTTATTTTTCTACAGTATAAACATTTACCCGTATAGGTCTCGCCCGGCACATAGCCATTGGCACCCTCAGCCACAATTAATCTATAACCATTGTCGCCGCGCGAACGTCTACCGTGCGGTAGGTGTGTTGGTGCACGCGTACAACATGCCGCCAATTGAAACGCCACTAAACATAGCAGTAAAAATGTCAAGTTGCACTTGTTGAGTAATTGACACTGCATTTTCATTTGCTATTTTCCGCACACGATACTGTTTTAAGAGTCACACAGTTATTTACACAGATTTGTATATATTTATGTATATATATAAGTATTTTTTGTTTCAATGCTAAGTTAATTGCACAATGTATTCCTCCACTTGCTATACAAGCGTAGATTTTGAAATGGAATCTATTCGCATAGAATGGCGTACGATTTTTTGAATGTCACCAGCAGCTTTGGTCACGCTAACGCGTAACGCGGTTATTATTAAAATATGTACGTTTTGTAAAGCTTAGATTAAATGCTTCTATGCGATTCGGCGTACGCGCTCAGACTGAATGCCTCAAAGATGAGCATAAGCGAAGATGAGCCATCAAATGGCACTGGAAGCTGCCTGAATACATACATGCTGATGTACATAGCTGCATGTATGTAATAGCAAATATGTCTATATGTGCGTAAAATGCTGATAACATACTTTATTGGAGCATTCATTTTTGTCTTCAAGTGAACAAATAGCATCTTTGATAAGAGTTGATCATTTGGCATATGGTCAGTGTATAGGAAACAGAATCCAAGTGTTTTTTTTTTGGTTATTTCTTATGCTTTCAAGCATACATTTTTTTCCAAAAACGTTGTATAATTACAAAAAAAAATTTTTTTTGTTGGTTTCAAATACAATTGTAGACTTAAACAAGAAAAAACGTTGATTTTTTTGTACTGAAGCTAAAATACCCTTCACAAGTGCATACCTAATAGGGCATAAAAGGGTATAAAAAGATCTTTATCTTGATTTTGATAGTCAGTTTGTATGGCAGCTATATGTTATAGTGATCCGATCTGAACAATTTATAAGAAAATTATAGCGTTGCCTTGGACAATATTATGTGCCAAATTTCGTGAAGATATCTTGCCAAATAAAAGAGTTTTCCATACAAGAACTTGATTTGGTTCAGTTAGTTTGTACCGCAGCTATATGTTATAATAGTTACGACAAATGAGCAGTTTCTTGAAGAGAAAGGGCTTGGGTAAAATTTCAGATTTTTATAGCAAAAACTAAGGCATGTTTTGGACATTTTCTTCCGGGTGTTACAAACTTCGTGGTAAACTTATTATACCGTGTATACTATATATAGCTTGTTCAGTGTATAAAAAGTGTGATATACTTGTATGTTCATTTATTTACATACATATGTATGTTATCATACAAATGAGTTTTACTTGAACTTTAGGTTCAAATTTAGCGCTGATAAGCTCATCACTTCATTTCAAAAACGGTTGTGGGTAATTAAATAAAACACTTTTTGTTTTGTGTTCATTAATATATATTAATTTTTAATAATTTTGACTTTATTATTTTTCAAGGTATTGTATAATTCGTATATGACAATCGTTTTAGTTAATACATTTTATTAATTCATTTCTAAATTTTGTGAATGAATACATATATGCATTTTTTTATGAATCTATGAACTTTTTGTTCGATTTGTGAATTTTCCAGTTAGTAATAAATGTATTTGTATTTGTGTGTCGATTAACGCGCCTACAACTATGTCTGCAAACATGCCATACATACATATTTAATAAACAATTATAAACATATCGTGAATATGATTGACTGCAAAAATAACTGTATTTAGGTACATGTATGTATATGTTTGTATATGCAGTCAGTCACATGCTATTATATAAATCATGCATACATATATTTTGACTTTATTATTATTACATATAAATTTCAAGACGCCGCTGTTAGTTTTGATACCCTCAATTGATAACTTTTCGTTAAAGCTGTTCTTTCGTAGTTTTTTTTTATAAAAGTAAGAGGCGAATTACAAACTGAAAACCGCATACCTTATCAAAATTTTGACACACTAGTATTACATGTATGTATTTACATACATATATAGAGCTTATTGCGCTACTTACTACACAGCAACTGGCAATGTGAGATTCGTTTTGGCTAATTTGTAATGTTTTAATAAATTATGTACGTATATATGTATGTTTTGTATTTTAATGTTTCAGTTACAACTTTGTATGTATGTGTAGTGTTTTTGAGTAGGAATCGAGTTTTTTCCTTTAAGTTTTCCGTTTGCATTACGCGCTATATTTTGTAGATGATGTGTACGTTTGTGTTTGTAAAATGAGCACATTATATAAAAATAATTATAATATAACTAAAATTATAACATAAAAATATTGATTAACATTTAATTGCAGTAAAAATATTGAGTACTGTGTATAAAACACAACAACTGCCTAAATCACATAAAAGCGAATTTCACACAAAAATACTTATTTAAAAAGCTACAAAGCTATATATAAATATTGACTTAAATGAGAAAAATTAAATTAAATTAATCACATTAAATATAACAAAAATGCTACACAATATTTTAGCGCCAATAGTTACTGATCACTAGCACTAAAAACGTAAGAGTAGCGTTAATCTAAATACAAGCAATTTATAAATAAAATAAGTACAAATAGTTCAAAAGCAATTTTTTAAAAGTAGCTTAAAGATAGTTTTTTTTTTATAAAATAACAATAATTAATAATAATAAAACAGAAATAAATGATTAATTTAATACTAAAAGGTTAGTATGGGCGTTTCACGATGATCCAGCAAATCTGTAAACAAACAAAAATTATTAAAATTAAATAAAAACATTAGCTTCGGTTGCACCGAAACTTAATTACCCTACATAAGTGCATTTCTTATAACGTAAAAGAATATAAAAAGATCTTAATCTTGATTTTGATTGGTCAGTTTGTATGGCAGCTATATGCTAAAGTGGTCCGTTCTAAACAATTTGTTCAGACATTGTAGCGTTGACCTGGATAATAATCTATTAAAAATTTCTTGAAGATATTTTGTCAAATAAAAAAGTTTTCTATACAAGAGCTCAATTTTGATCTGTCAATTTGTATGACAGCTATATGATATAGTGGTCCGATATCGGCGATTCCGACAAATATGCAACTTCTTTGGGAGAAAAGGACATGTACAAAATTTCAGATCGATATCTCAAAAACAGAGACTAGTTCGCGTATATAAAGATAGACGGACATCGACTCAGAACTTCACGCAGCTCATTTTTGTATATACAGGGTGTTAGCAACTTCGTGGCAAACTTAGCATACCCTGCTCAGAGTATCAATCAAATCACACATTATGGTATATACCTTTAGCAATGCTCCACCAAGGCAGTGTCACATAAGTGAGGAATGCATTGAGCGGTGTGGACTGTTGCCGACGATTCTCCTTCCAAAAGTGAAATGACTGTGTGAAGCCGCGACTTGCCCATAGTGGATTGTAGGCGCCGTCATCTAATTCTAATAAAAGAGAAAAGAGATAATAAACGTTTTTTACAATTTTAGAATTTGTAGCATAAACAGACATATGTATAAACATGCGTATAAAAATAAATAATATTTTTATTATTATATTAATATTAAAAATTAAAATTTTTTTTTCTCAAAAAAAATACAGTTATCTCTTAAACTCAATCAACCTTCTCTCGCATTTTTTCCTTCATAGCTAACATTTACAAATTTGTTTATCTACTTCTTTTGGTCATAAAAATGAGATGGTACTCAACCTAACCTCAACAAGCAGCCGCTAAATTTCCTAAAGCTCTAAATAAAAACCAATGTCGTACGAGTTTAAGCCTAAGTACGGTTAGCTATAATGAGTTTTTATTAATTCTATTAAAGGATAGATCCATTCTCAATAACTCTTCGGTTGTATGATGTACACTAGTCTGGGTCTCTGGGAAACAGATGTTAAAATTAGGCTGACAAAATGTTTGCTAGATAGAGGAATCTACCTAACTGGTATAGAACCGGAACTACAAAAAAATGAGTAAACAAAAACACTTTGTCTAACCGCGTGCAGCGAGCGGCGAAAGGTCACAGCGCTTGAAATGCGCTCTCACAAACACTAGTTTTGCGCACTGTCATTAAACTGCGAACGAAAAATCAAATATATGCAACACACCTTTGAGCGCCTTACGCGGCAAATCACACCAATAATAAATGTTGGTGCCATCGGGGGTACGTCGCTTCGGCACCAAGCTGAGTGCGCGTTGATAAAACGCATGCTGAGCAGCGCTGCGCTTTGCGCGTGGCAACGTGGCATTGGAATGACCATTCTCTCCGCCACTGACAGCACCGCCGCCATCGCTTACACTGCCGTTCTCACCGCTGCCACTGGCCGCCGACACTGAAGGCGGTGGCGAAATCGGTGAACGTTGTGCACTCGATGACGTTAGTGCGGACAGCGGCGGCGGTGACGCCAACATGTGACAATTGCCATTACAATCGCTGATATCGCTGGTCGCAGCGGCTGCGGCCGCGGCTGCACTTTGAGTATCCAAGTAAAGTTGTGTGGTTTTTATTGTTCTTGATGTGGTTGTTGTTGCTGAGGCTGTCGTCGGCGAAATACTATTGTCGCGCTTATTATCAAAAGTTTCAGCAGCGGCAGCGACATCGTGCAGCTCCTGACTCACTGTCTGCTGCGCATGTTGCTGCTGCTGCAATGGATGGCATTCTAATTTTACAGGTACACGTACACACTTCTCGAAACTGTATGGATTGGTCTGGCCACTGTCGGCACTACTAGCTGCATTTACCTCGGCCGTGTTTGGCGGTGACCGCTGCTCTACAACGGGCAGTTCTTCGCGACCGCGCACATTTATCATGAGTTTTGTGTCTTGCTCGCTCAGTATAGCCATTTTGGCTTCGGATGCTTCCACCGAGCTGCCATTCAACGAAGTCGCATCGTCGGCTATTTCATATTCTTCGGCTTGCTGTGTCGTCGCCTCTTGTTCTACCATACAGTTATTAT